GAGACGGGGGAGACGCACATCTGTAGTGACGTCTAACGGGTATTGGCGCTTGACAATAATAGGCAATCCTCTTTGCGCTTATAATCCTTGGTTTGTGACAATCAATGGTTGACTTTTTCCGTCACTTTTCGTTATACCTTTCTTCTTTCTCGAGTAACGAAATTTGCCCGTGACGCGTTTTTCAAATCACTCTTCATTGTCGTCCAAATATCAAACCGCCGCCTAAGAAGTTTCACTACAAAAATCGAATATTAAATTTTGAAAGTTACGGCAACGTTGTATACCTCTAGGAGGGAAGTCTGCTGTGCTCGACGCGATGCGGCAACCGCGAACGCGCGGGACGTATATCTTACTATTTGTATGTGGAGACTACTACTATACCTATTCTATTTCTTTTTGTTTAGATAGAAAGTTCCTGAATTTTTACAAATAATAATTTTTCTCGTTTAACTTGTTTTCACTTGGCATAATCTTTTCTTCGGCAAATTTATATTTGCCTAATTTTAATAAATTTGTTTTTCAATTAGACTGAAGACACAATGACAAATATAAGGTACAAGTGACCAAAAATATAATAACACATGTATCAATATCAATACTATAACCCAGAATAAATGGATACAAGATATAATTTACTTGCCACGCCACGATACAAAATTTCGAATTTTTGGTATTTTATATCTGTCACTTGTACCTTGTATTTGTCATTGTGTCTTCTAGGCACTAGCTGACGTCACACACATAACCTCAGTTTCGATGGGGGGACAAACAAAGCGTTCAAGGACTATTCACACACATCGGTTAGGCGATAGCTATTTCGTCAAAAATCACATAACGTCACTTTTGATAGGGGGACAAACATGTCATTGACGGCCGTTTCTACCCACTACACCCAGGTGGAGAAAAATGGGCCACCTATCATTGTTTCAAAGTTGGCTATATTTTTTTATCATTTTCGTATTTTTATTTTCACTTTTGAATATATTGTTTTTTGTTTAACCTACAAGGGAACCCTTATCAAATTGTCAATCAAAAATCAATAGTGTTATCTATATGTCATAAGCCAGAATAATAAACAAACATAGTCAACTTTCAAACAATAATAGGTGGCCCATTTTTTTTGTACACCTAAGTGTATTTTAGGGAAGCCTTAATGATAAGTATTTCTTAAAATGACAGTTTTCAATGAAAAAAATCCATTCTGAGGAATACTTATCGTTAAGGCTCCCCTAAAATGTTGATGAAAACGGCCATGAGACAAACAAACGCTTTGTTTGTCCCTCCATCGAAAGTAAGGTTATGTGTGTGACGTCAGCTAATGCCTTCAGCACCACAAGAATAATACCTAAAAGATGGCAGGCCCCAAAGGTCCTAGGTCCGCCACTGCTTGAAATGACCAAAAAGTTTCAATTTGGACCTCAATTTTCCTTATGGAGATTCACATAAGAAAATGAACGATTTTGTACCAGAGTTCTCCTAGCACATTTACTATCGTTATTGGTGCCTTTGACAAAACATCCCATAGGACAGCAGAGACTGAGTAGGCACTGAGTCTATTGAGATGAGCACCACTCGAGGCACTCAGGCCGGAGTATGCGTACTCATGATGTGGAGCTTAGTGATAGATTAGATGAACTACTTGGAATACTGAATAACCTGGACTTGTACTGCGTTGGGTATCCGGTGATATCGTCATCATAGCAAGATGGAAGGTCAAGGACACCCTGTGTGAACCTTATACGTCCGTGACGTATACAGACTGGACTCAAAGCAACGGAGGAATGGTGCTAAACTGTGCGACTGGAGCGATATACCCATCAAAAACCAGCGTAGGAAGAGAGAACTCCCTAGAATGAAGGACATCCGAATAAACGGAGCTACTGCTACACCGGTGACGGGAGTTAGAAATCTCGACGAACGCTAGAATGCAAGCTCAGATAGAGAAAACACCTTCAATGTGGCTACAAAGGCTCTCATGGTGTGCCGAAACCTTGCAGACAACAGACAACATTTGGGGAGGCAAACCAGGGATCATGAGATGGATGTACACCAACCCTACTGGGTATATGTCAATTCGTCGTAGAGGCAATTCGTCGTATACGTCAATTCGTCGTATTTCAGGTATAATGTTAAAAAGTTAAAATGTATAAATTTACACTTTCTCGTTTAATCAGACATTACCAAACTTACCGATAATAACTCGGTTTGGGTAAGTTTGCAATTTTAATCAGACCTATGAAACTTACCGATAATAACCCGGTTTGTTTGGGTTAAGGTACGGTTTCTTAGGATAGTACGCAACGCACAACTTACAACGTAAACGTCGTGATTGGTTCAGGTATGACGTACACCAGTTTTCTGTCAGCGTCAGAAAACTGACGCCAGGTAACGGGTGTACGTCATACCTAAACCAATCACGACGTTTACGTTGTCAGTTGTGCGTCGCGCAAGCTAACCCAAACTAAAGGTACGGTTTGTTAGGAGAGTACGCGTCGCACAACTGACAACGTAAACGTCGTCATTGATCAGGTATGACCATAGGTATGACGTACACCCGTGTTCTCACGTCAAAAGACGGGTGTACGTCATACCTGAACCAATGACGACGTTTACGTTGTCAGTTGTGCGACGCGTACTCTCCTAACAAACCGTACCTTAACCGGGTTATTATGAGTACGTTTGGTAGTCTCTGATTAAACAGAAAAAGTTTAAATTTATACATTTTAACATTATACCTGAGATACGACGAATTGACGTACACGACAATATAGGTCATTCGTCGTTATTATCGGTAAGTTTGGTTATTTCTGATTGAACAGAAAAAGTGCAAATTTATATATTTTTCAACTTTATACCTGAAATACCACGAAATAAAAATACGACGAATTGACTTATACAACAAATTAACGTGTTGATAGTTTGCAATTTTATTCAGACATTATCAAACTTACCGATAATAACCCGGTTAATTTGGGTTAGTTTACAATGTTTGTCTGATTAGCAAACTATTAACATGTTGACTACCACATGAGTCGCCAGTGATGCATAAGATTCAGTTGCTTTTATACCGACAGGGATGTTTGACCCAATACGAGGCAGTGGACGTAACTTAAGGAAAAATTGACGTATACGACAAATTCACTTCACGACGAATTGACGTGTACGTCGAATCAACGTTACGGCGAATTGACGTATACAACAAATAGATTTTACGATGAATTGGCGTACGATGAATTGACGTACGATAGATTGATTTACGACGAATTGACGCTGACCCAACCCTACTATATAGATCGATAGTCTGGTTCCAAGAAGTTGAGAAGCAGAACATAAAAGAAGCTCTTAACAAACTACAGCACTTGGCGTGCACATGCATTACGGGCACAATGAAAACTTGTCCCATAGCAGCCATCGAGACAGTTGTAAGTCTCGCATCTCACATCGTACTGGAGGGGCCTGCTGGCTTTGAAGGAGAGAATTGGCATCTCTAACCAAACTTATTCCGCTCTTGGAGGCATCTCTAACCAAACTTATTCCGCTCTCCCAAGGATGATCTGATCAAAACATATAATTTTAAGAAACGCTTCACAGTAATGATAGAAGCAGAGAAGGATGGGAAGGAAGCACCACATCCATTCTCAAAATTCAGCAGAACGCCATAAAACGGTATGCTAATGAGTCGAGAACTCAATAAGGGATCGGAGCCGGAGTACTTGGGCCTAGAATTAAGTTCTCAGAAGTAATAGGAAAACACCCGGACACGGGACTGGACACGTGGGGATCGCAGGCAAAGAGAAAGCAGACCAATTGGCAAGATTGGGAACACAAACTCCGCTTTCAGGAACAGAGCTTTTTTTCATGCGGCATAGGGACGCACTCCTATAAGGGAGCGTCCAGAAAGAGCGGACCAGAATAGATCAGGGTTAGGGCAATCAACGATGTTTCTCGGGCTTCTCATCAAGGAAGATCGAAAGACCTCACATCACTGAATAAAAACAAACTTCGCATTTTCACTGCACTCCTCACAGGATCCTTATTCTTGAAACAGGGGAGCAGCGTTCCCAGGGCAGCAAGTGTTCCGTCTTTCTCAATGATATGGAAATGATAATGTAAGTAACAAAGACGAAACACGCCTGGGAACGCTGCTCCCCTATTTCAAGAATAAGGACCCTGGGTCCTTATTCTTGAAATAGGGGCCACTGACGGTTAAGGGGGCACCTTAAGAGAATTAAAATCTAAAAAGAGGACAGATGCCGATTCTATGAGGAAGGGGAACATACGAATGGCCTGTTTCGAATGCTGCACCGTTGAACAGGAAGCATTTCAATTCATAGGACCATCAAGCCCACTTGTTTTCATTAAAACTTTAAAGTTAAATGAGGTGCTTTCAGTGAGAATCCTATCAACTGATGTACTCAGAAGGTGAACAGAATAGATCTATGTGGGTCGCACTGTAACAATACCCCCAATTCCTTCATCAGAGCTCCAAGAAAATAGTGCAGAAATAGGAAAACAGTCCATAGTTCCGTGATAGAAATAAAAAACATGTTTGGAAAACAAAGCTGATGGAAAAAAGCTTAAATTCAAAAATAATTAAAACAGAAGCATATTAGAAATGCCTCTATTCATTTATTCCCAGGCTTAAAAACAAAAGTTGAGAGCATCAAAATGCACCTCTGCTTTTAATTATATTTTCAACGTTAAAAGCTTTCTTTTGCGTTTCTAGTTAATTAGTACCTACTTTTATTATTTTTTGTAAATTATGTTTCCATCGAGTTTTCTCTTTTTATTTTTTTGAATTACATAAAGGACTATGTAAAAATATAAAAGAAAATTGAAAAAGAAATGAAATGAGATTCTGCATTGTTGCATGATTAACAAAGATCATGAAATTTACCAACACATATCAGAACATCAAGAAAACCCAAGTTGAAACCAAATGTCACTCACGAAAAACATCTTTCAAATTTCAAAAAAGCTTCAAACAAAATGTTACTTACTTATAACACTATTGTCCCTTTGTTCTTGCGTAAAAGATATAACAACACGTATAACATTATCCCTGTTAGCCATAGTATCAAATGGCGAATCCTTTTTAGTCGGAGTAGTGAAGAGTACTTCTTTAGGAATAACATGTCCGTCAATAATGTATTCGTCAATCAAACTAGCTCTATTATTCTGAAAAAATTTAATTAAAATATTCGGTTAAAAATTATTAGCATTATTGTAATTTCAAATTTTTACCGCGAATCCTTCATCCACCGGAATAAAAAACGTTTGTCCGCCCTCGGCACGGAAAATATTCTGCCTGTTGTACTGCTGCACTTTTTGCCGGAAATTCCTGCAATTTAAAAGTAGTTTGGGTAAGCTGATTGGATTTTAAAATTTAATTAACCAGGCGTGTAGTAGTTAGGGCGGTTAATTTTAGAATAACAATTAGATTTTGGTTGCGTCTATATGAAAATCTAAATTGAAAGTTTTTCTATGTAAATTTTCACTTACCTCACTCTATGGTTGCCTTGTATAAGGGATTCGTAATTTTCTAAAAATTCCCAAGCATTTGGGTTGAAAACTTGGTTCGTAGAAGATGCTGTGGATTTTGTAGGAATCAGCACTTCGTCGATTTTATGCAGCACCTTTGCACAATGTTTGATTTAATTAAAAATATATTTTTGATTTGAAATATTACTCACTTGCATTACAGGAATTCCTTTATTTAAAGTTTTAATGCCAATAACATTCGATTGACTAGCCAATATTCTTGCGTTATTGACGTAGAAAGCATCATTGTAGGTACCACGGCTTATGGTAATCCATATCGGTGGTCCGCCTGATAATCTTGTATTCAATGACGTATACGATATTCCTAGTTGCTCGATTTTTTTGGGAGTAGTAACTAATGAATAATTAAATGAATATCAACTTCACTGATCTCCTTTGTTCTACTTACTTAAATGATAAGGTACCAAAGATTCTGCGTCTGGTAAAGGGCCCACGATCTTTTGAAAGGCCGCATTGATTGGAGCGAACACTGTAATGGCTTCGTTGCCCAAACTGAAGTTGCACAGATTGCATTCTCCAAAAAGTGCATAGAACTGAAAAAAAAGTAATTTATTAGAGATTTTCTTTTTAGTAGAAATATATAAATTTCCATCAAAAACTATAACCCTTCTCACTTTGAGGCGCCTACTAAAAGAGAGGAGAAATCTCTCGAGAACTGAAAGTAATCCTCTGGATGGCATCAAGGCGAGTCCAATTTTTTCAATTACCTCCAATTTTTTTTTCAAAGGAGTTATCACAAAATTTCTCTCAAAACGTTTTAACGTATATGTTCGACTTTAGTATCTATTTTAACCATCGAATTATTTATCTTTTATCTGTTTTATCCACGTTTTTTTATTTTCTTTTGTCTGTCATTATTTCGCGGATAAGTCCTATAATCTCTAAGGAGACTTTTAACTTTTTAGACAATTTAAAAGGCTGGCTTTGGATTTTTTATTGCAGGTTTTTTGAGTCTTTTCCAACAAAACTTACTCTTTTAAATAGAAGCAGAGATATTTTGCCATTGAACACACACATAGGGTCGAAATGTGAGGGGTGAAATGCGAGGGTAAATTCTGGGAGGCAAAATGATGGGACAGAGTTTCCCGGATTCAACATAGTTATATACCGATTGTTTAATGTCCTGGAGCTAATTGGAAACAGGAAACAGAACTGAACAGAGCTGATATTACATAAATAAATAAATCAATAAAAAAAAAGAGCATTATTCGTTTTCGCTTAATCATCAAGCCCTTCTAAACTATGTGATTTCCATCTCGATTTGTTGCAATAGATACCATAGTTCCCAAGCTCGTCCATTATATATTTTGAGTTTTTTCTTGTTCTATACTTTCTACTTTTCCCGCAACAATCAACACCAATAATTGATATCTGGGATCCTATTTTTCTTATGTTTCAACTGCAGCATCTCTTACCTTTTTTCATGCTCCAAAATTTTTTCTTCAGCCCATTAAACTTTCAGCATTCTATGATGGAAGATCCACAATTCAGACTTAAAATTTGTGCAAAGATATAGCGTACCATGTTTCCACTCAATAAAATATAAAATAACTGATACTGGATGTAGCGAAGCGTATTCTCAAACTTGCTGGCAAAAATATTCCTAAATCTTGAAAAACGATAATTACCTAAGGAACTTATACATTTTTCACATATGGCATAACATACATAATAGAATAACTGGTAGTTTATTTTCAACTTTTGATTGGACTCAGTTAATTTCGAGGACTGGATCATAAAATAACTACTCAATACTTCAAAACCCTTTAACTTAATCCATCAATTATTTCATTACATATGGAGCTATGATACACACTTTGTAAAAAATATAGTTAAATTCAAACCAAAACAAGCCTCAATTATTTTTCAACAATAGTACCTCTTTCAAAGAGCTTTATTATATTTCAACGGTTATTTTTAGCCTTTATAAATGTCAGCTTAATAGTAAAGGTCATTATACAAACCCGGAGATTTATTTAATTTCCACGAATAATATTCATTGTACCACTTATATTAAAATTTCACTGCTAGAATCTAATTTCTGATTTTCAGAGTGTCATTTCTACTTCGATAAATAACTAATGGACTTATAGGGGAAGAAGACAAGCGCAGCAGGGGTGAGTAAACTCCCTCGGCGCCAATAAAACCTTCTCAATTGACAGATTTTTCGATAAACACGTAGCGCAGTGGCTTGGCTTTAGCTACAACGAAACTAATAATGGAATTGCAAACCACTACACATTTGCTTTGTTCCTGTTACACAAGTAATCAATAAAGTTACTTATAATAATAATAAACCTAATAAGCAAACTTTCATGATATTAATAATTAATATATGAAGCCAAACTATATATTATAGTTTAGTTTATATGTTATAACTATAATAAACTTGTTGCTATATAAATTAGAATTTTAAACTCAATTAAGGACTTTTAACTGCAGATACATTATTAATACTAAAACGCTTCGTGCAATTTTATTAAAGCTAAAAATTCGTGTCTCGCCCTTATATCATTTTCATATTCCACCCTCTCTCTGACATTTATCGCATTTTATACCCCTAGAACAATGAATCTAAATTACTGTCGCGCTTATATTCCGAGCCTCCGCCCTACATCTACAAGTACATCGGCTTCTTCTTGAAATTTAATATTCGAGAAGCGAGGAATGTGTTTATTGAATTTGCGCCTTAAAAATGTTGAAGTATTACAAGATAGGAGATTTCGATTTTAGAAATTTGTTTGTAATGAAATGTGGATTCTCTTGTGTGATTTAGTAAAATTAAGTTTGTTGATGTTTCAATGGAATGTATGTCGAAATATAGCAGCCCTAACTAGCACTCTCAGTAATGAAATAATTAGTCCAAAAGCAATTATTTTAATGATGCAGGTTTCCTCTCCTTTAACAGACATTCACAGTTTACTCCTAGAAGTGAACTTCTCATTTTGTTTCCATATGGCCCTGTCTGTGTCAGCTTTTCCAATGTTTATGTGTTCTCTGAGACTTATCGGCATCATCGTATACATTTTATGCCTCTTTGTGTTTTTCTGAGTTTATCATCAAATTTAGCTGTCAGCAACACAGTTACCAATTTTAGAGTTGTTGCTTCTATGTCGATTTATTAAGTCTGGAATTCTAGCTCTGGTTGATTTATTTGAACTATGTTAAGTCTTGATAGATGTTTTCCATTACAGAACGATCCAACTATCATAGTCCCTCGATCCAAGGCAGATAGAGGTTGAACCACCGACTACCCGCCACAAATTGACGCCTAACGTGTTGCCTTCGAGTAATTGTGAAATGTGATTTCTGTAAGAGTTACACAATTTTTCCAAATTGGATGCGTCATCTGCTTTCTCGCAATTGTCGCTAGACTATGAAAGTTCGCTTTTGTGTACCTTTACAACACCGTCTGGTCGTTTTCGGTACTTGAGGCTACCATATGGACTTAGCTGTGCACCAGAGATGTTCCAGAGAGATTTATGAATGAGCTTTTAGAAAATTTACCTGGTCAAATTGCATGTTTTGATGATGTATTGGTGTTTGGCAGTTCTATGGAGTCACATAACAATAATTTGCGTGCAGTTTTGGAAAGGATACAAGAAAGTGGACTTACTTTGAATCTAGAAAAGTCAAAATTTTGTGTTACACAAATACAATTTTTGGGCCACTTTGTGAACGAATTTGGGATATCACCAGACTCGGAAAAAACAAAAGCTGTGATGAATATGAATTCACCAAAATGCAAGAAAGATTTACAAAGATTTTTGGGTATGAATGTTTATTTGGCTAAATTTGTACGAAATTTGTCCAATGAGACTGCAATTTTAAGGCAGCTTTTGAGTGAAAAAAATGAGAGGCCATGGACTCCGACACAACAAAATTGTTTTGAGAATTTCATACATATGTCAAAACTGGTATTCTAACAATAAATTGACATGTTTTGATTGTTGATTTGAACCAATCAGATTGTAATTACGCGATAATTTGCACTAGTGCAAATTATCAGATATTGCTAACTGGTGCGAAAACTGGTGTTTTGACATTTTTTGACAAAAAATTTAAATTTTTGATTTATGAAATTCTCTCATTAAATACAACTCGTGGAATGGAAATATATTTATAATTTTCGACAAATTTGCACTCATGCGTTTTTAACTAAAAAAAAATGCATTCGGGCAAATTTCCCAAAAATTATCAATAATTTCCATTGCACTAGTTATATTACTATTGATAAAATAAAGCGACTCATTACTTCAGCAACAACTCTGCATTTTTTTGACTCAAAAAAGAAAACAGTTATGTCAGTAGATGCCAGCCCCTATGGTCTTGGAGCCACAATTTCTCAGGGTGGATATCCCATCGAATTTGCATCTGTCTCGCTCACAAAAACACAACGCCGCTACAATCACATAGAAAAGGAATTATTGGCCCTAGTCTTTGGCTGTGAACCTTTTTCTTTTTATCTATATGGCAATACTTTTGAAGCCAAAACGGACCATAGACCACTTTTGGGACTACTAAAAAAACCCTTGGATGAAATGTCACCAAGAATCCAGCGTTTGGCCATGAGACTATTGAGATTTCAGCTTACATTTACTTATGTTCCGGGGAAAAACTTACAAAGTACCTGATACACTGAGCAGGGACCCTTTTAATTAGACTTTGAATACTGATTATTTGGAAAATGACCTAAAAGTGTACTGTTGGGTAACTACAAGCAAAGCAAATGAAGAAAAACACCAAAAAGAGATTGATCTTGATCCATGCCTTCAGAAAGTTGAATACTACGTGCTCGAAGGTTGGCCAAGACATAAAAATGCCTTATAAAAATGATATTTATCTTCACAAAGATGTATTATTTTTTAACAAAAGACTCGTGATTCCAGAAATATTGAAGAATGAATTTTTGAATATAATACACCAATCACATCAAGGTGTAGTTTCGTGCAAAAAAAGAGCCCAAGAGTCGATTTTTTATCCAGGATTTATGAGTGACATCGAAAAAGTTGTATTGAATTGCTTAACATGCCAAATGTACACAAAAAGCACAACATGCGCTTAGTGAAGGGAATCACGAAATACTATTTGGTGAGGTCAAGCTTCTTGCACGGACTTCCGGATACCACAATCGTCTGGTACGTTAAACTATAGAAATCCACAATATTGGGAGAGCTTCAACAGGAAAGATGAAACACTAAAACTTAACCAAATTTGGAACCCGATCCTCAAAAACGCAAGAAAGATCCCATTGAGTACAGAGAAAGTTCAGATTAGCCACGTACTGCAAAGCCCCGCCCCTTCTCCACCACAACCACTCACACATAAATACACCTTGCCATCGGAAACGCGTCAGTCTGCTATCAGAATCGGACATGGAAGCACCTCTGAAGATGCTAGCCAGGCGTGCTGACGAAACGTCAGGAAGAAATTCCAACTTACGACGGCCATTAAGCCCGAATGAAAACACTTTATCAATAAACCTGGGCCGCGAAACCCTCACAAACTTTACTAGATCTTCAGTCTGGTTATC